CAAACACACACACACACACACACACACACACACACACACACACACACAAATACATTAAAAATAAATATATAAACGAATTGTAATGATTAAATCTACAAACTGAGCCAGGTGCAGTTGTATATGACTGTAAGCCTAGCACTCAAGAGGCAGAAGCAGGCAGATCGCTTTATAATAGAAGCTAGCCTGAACTGTAGAATGAGTTCCACACCAGCTGGGGCCACAGGGAGATTGTGTCTCAACACCACTCCCACGCAAAAAGATGCTCCAATAATTTTAGTTGTTGGTTTGGGGAGATTGTTACACATGTTCCATGAAGAGACTTTGATGCTTTAAGCAAATATTTGTTTTCTCAGTTTTACTGAGCTCGTCAAGAACCAGAACAGCTGAAGGAGCACTTCTGTCAAGGGCACCCTTAGCTGCAAATGGAGTGACTTTAACTCAGATATGGAAAAACGAAAATGACAGGAAGGAAACTATTGGAGAGTTAGCAAGATGTCAGGGTGTAGAAGTTGAAGGTGATGAAAATGTAATGTGGGTAGACATGACAAATATGTAAGGTACATGTATGAAATGGATACAAATATTGAAGGAAAATTTAAGAAAAAATATAAATACAAACAACACTTGGAAGAATGTAACTGGATTTCTATACTATACATAATTAAACAATTAATCACATATATCACCGGCTAAATCACTGATTTAACTAGTAAACAGTTGAAATCATTAATAAAAGACCCAGCATCAGAGTGTATTTAAAATAGATTTTCACTTATTTACATTTAAGTAGATGGTGTTTTGCTACATTCCAAGTATATGACTCTTCCATTTCACTCCTAGGATTTGAAAGGAATGTGTCCCAGAGCCTGGATCTCATGCTCTTTTTAAATTATTTTTTCAGGTTATCATGAAAACAATGATTCTCCATGGCATATTCATTCATAGTTGTCATTACACTGTATGCTCATTTCTTCCACTCAGCCCTAGTGTGCTAAACTTTGAGAAAACCTACTAAATTTCATAGTTTATTGCTGTAAGTTCCTGTGAAGTGCAGAGTTTACAAATGGGTAAATCTAAGGTAATCATATGGAAAGTGAAAAAATCTAAGTTGAATTTCACATTTGTCAAAAAAAATTTTTTTAAGTTTTGTTAAGTTTTAGCTCATTTCATATAATAGATCTGGATCCAATTTAGACACCCTCTCACATCAGTTCTTTCTCTACCTCACTGACATCATGCAGATTAATTGTGAGACTTGTTAGATATTCCCAATGTTTAAACATGCTTGAGTTTGGAACAATGAGAATATAGCATCATAACAACTATGTATGTGTATGCCACGATGAAATAGATCACTGTTCATAAAACCCTGATAAAATCAGATAAAAGGAAACAAATACAAGAGACAGACTCTGTTACCCGGCAGCAATCTCAAATCCTGGAAGGCATGGGCAAGAGGTTCCTGAACCGAAGAGTTCTTTACTAACCTCTGCACAAAGCAAGACACCATCTATTACCAACTAAGTAAAGATAATTCAATTATGCCTGGGTACCAGGCCATTTATTAATGATTCTAGTTATTTACTAGGTAAGTAAGCTAACTCATCATATATATGTATATATGTATGATAATAAAATGTAATACTATGTAATTTGATATAATGTGATGATTGCTTGTAGTGTGATGCCTGCTTGCAGTGTGATGTCTGCTTGTAGTGTGATGCCAGCTTGTAGTGTGATGACTGCTTGTAGTGTGATGTCCACGTAGTGTGATGCCTGCAGCTTGAAGTGTGATGACTGCTTGTAGTGTGAGGACTGCTTGTAGTGTGATGCCTGCTTATAGTGTGATGCCTGCTTGTAGTGTGATGACTGCTTGTAGTGTGATGTCTGCTTGTAGTGTGATTCCTGCTTGTAGTATGATTCCTGCTTGTAGTGTGATGCCTGCTTGTAGTGTGATGTCTGCTTGTAGTGTGATGTCTGCTTATAGTGTGATGCCTGCTTGTAGTGTGATGTCTGCTTGTAGTGTGATGTCTGCTCGTAGTGTGATTCCTGCTTGTAGTGTGAGGACTGCCTATGGAATAATACCTGCCTGTAGCATGAGGGCCTGAATGACTCCAAATATGCAGTTCTGACATCCTCTTGGGGGTCCTGATTTGTTCTTTTCATCGTCAACTGCATTTTTCTCCATAGGTCAAAATGTTCCCATTGATGGGTGTACACTTTTCGATTGTAGTGCCATTCACTAGGCACATTACCACACTTTTCAAATATTAACTATAGGTTTTCGATGTCTAGTCTTTTCATCAGTATATTTCTTTAATGTTATTCTGATTGGAAAAACACACACAAAAATTAAAGCAATCATTTTCAAAGTGGAGCATGGTAATCATCCCTTCCTATCTCTTCAGTTGTGCAGATCTTGCCATATTTTCACAGTTTTGACTTTCTTCTTTATTCCTTTCAGCATGGGTTGAGAAAGAGAGTCCCTTGAAGGTAATGATTTATACTGATTTTGAATTGTTGAGGATGCACATTGTAACATAGGCAATTTTAACTTAATATCTTGCTTCAAACCCTCTCCAGCCTACACAGAAAGTGAAAAATCATTCGTCAGATGAAATAGAAATAACAATGATACAGCCATTCACAGCAGGTAAAAATTGTAAGTCATAATAATAAGAAGACAAGCATGCTTTTAATCCCAGCATTCGGGAGGCAGAGGCAGGTGGATCTCTGTGAGTTCAAGGCCAGCCTGGTCTATATAGTGAGTTCCAGGACAGCTGGGGCTACAGGGAGACCCTGTCTCAAAAAGATCAATAAATAAATAAATAAATAAATAAATAAAACTACTTACAACATTAACATTCTTATTTCTAATTTCCCAGTATTGATGATAAAATATGGTGTAAATAATTCAGTTTTCATTGTTGGCATCAGTGTTTCAACAAATAAATAATTTTAAAAAAACTATACAGATTGGCTTATCACTTAGAAAGCATGCAAAATTCAATTATTGAGTAAAACAAAGAGCATATACGCAAATAAGTGAAAAGATTGTCCACTTCAGCCAGAGATTGTGATGGAGGGACACATGAAGAGGTGGTTCATAGTTCAAGTGGTAAGATACAGTTGAAATACCAACAGAGTGCTGTGGCAATTCTAAATACCACCTGTGTACCTAGAGAGAGAGAGAGGGCCGCAATCAAGACAGACTTTAGATGCTGGGTGGCATTTTCACAGATAATCTGTCAGAATGAGTGACAGTGTGTCAGACAGTAAAGATTGAGGATTCTTCAAAATCCTTGGGGAAACAAAAATGTATCTGATCTCAAATTTTGGCAGTACCTATTCATTGCCACAAAGACTCTTATGTAAATCACTTTTAAATTTTATGTCACTGGAATATATAGATTTTTCTGTAGAAGAAGTCATAGACGTGTCATCAGAGGAAGAACAAGGGAAGAATGATAACAAAAATGCACAACAAATGGTAAGGAAATGTTTATGTTTCCATTTCTCATTTAATATTTTCTTTTGCTCAGTAACGTAATACAAAGACATGCAATTACCTTCAAATTACATTATAAACCAATTGATATTTGGCTTTTAAGACTACCCCTTTATCTTATAATAAAGCTGAGATTATTTTTAAAATATACACTAACCTATAGTAAAATTTGTATTGGATTTGTGACCAAATTTTCTGATAATTTTCTGGTTTCCATTTATGTAATCTCCTAATGCTAAATGGGAAAATAAAATTTATGTTATATGGCTAATCAACATCAAATTGGAATGATGTCACATATATTAGATTCATGGCAAATGGTATTTCAAGAGGTAAAGAATTTGTGGCTTTACAGTACCTGTTAGCCGAGGTTAAAGTTCGAATCTCCCCTCATTATCTTTAGTTGAATTCAGTGTTGCTATACATTTAGAGAAGAGGGAGATTCCATTAGCTCAGGCCAAATTAAGAGCATGAAACGTTGCAGAATTGAACCTTTGGTATAGTAATTAAAAGCAGACGTTCTGCCTTGCCTTCCTTCCAGTCAATGAAAAAAGCAAATCATGTAAAATGCTATCGACTGTTTGGACATTAGACTAAATTAGGATGAGATTTCAAGCTGTCAACATATAGGCCCATCACACTGCCCTTCTACATATAACTTAAAAAGAAACGTAAAACTTTATTCTGCTGGTTGGTAGGTTTTTCTTTATGTTATTTAGCCTTGCTTTCCACAGATGACCTACCCAAAGCTTAAATGTTCCCTGAAGAGAATATTTCTTGGTGGGCCCAGGGGATGGATTCACAATGAAGGACCCTGGGAACACAAATGATACTCCACAGGCCATATAATATATGTAAGAGAATTCATTAAACTCAGCAGGGGGACCTAAGGGAGGTGCGGAGAGGGCATCAGATCTAAATGTCATCAAATTATGTATCTTACAAAAATTGAGAATTGTGAAAAGTAAAAGAACAAACCAAAGCAAACTCAAAAGTCTTAATTTAATGTACAAGTTCTCGCTTTAAATGATGCACATTGCAATACATCCTTCTCTTATATATCAGCCTGGAGCTTGGTAATGAGATGTTGAGATTTTATCAGGGAGATAGAAACTTTTTGCAACTCATTAACTAATATTGTTAATTTTAATAGACATTTTTTTCTGAGCCCGACCTACCGAAGAAAGATGCAGCTCATGTCACTGGAACTGCAGTTCAAGGAAGAAAACCCATGTCATATTTTAAAGTGAAAGGTAAGTTCTCCACTTTATGAGGAGCTCTTTGAGGTGAAGGCATGTAATTCAGGGGAACAGCATATGTTGCCATTCAATATAGTACACTCATATAGGTAGAACATGATAACGAGGTCTCATCCATGTTCTGTAGATGTTGCTATCATGTGCTCCTGAAGCAACCAGGTTGATACATAGATGAGAAAATGTGTTACTCTGTGGAGTACTAAGGCAAAAGGCAATGCAGAGAATGCGTAATGAATGAGGAGAATTCATCCAGTACTGGGAATAGTGAAAACCAGAGAAAGAGTGAACAGATGAGTGGCGAAAATGCTGGAAATCTTCAGAAACTGAATGATAGGCCACTAGCATTTTCAGAAAGGTAAAGTGACCTTCTAACAGCCAGCTGTGTCAGCACAGCAGTGTCATGCCTTTCATGTCCTCCTCTTCATCGTAGGTAAGGCATTCGGCATTACAGGTCCCCTCACACAGAACTATGATTGCTTTTCCTAAGCAAGCTACTGGAGGCCATTCATACATGATTAGAAAATAATGTCCTATACTGGCTTAATAGTCAGGATTGCATTTCATAAAAAAATAATAAAGCAAAACAAAACAAAGGAAAATAAGAGAACGGGGGAGATGAAAACCACAGGGTGCGTGGTAAGGTGGTCAATACACCATGGCCAGTCCATTAATTTGTAATTAATCTGCTGGTTGTGGACATGAGAGGGACAGAAGCCTATGTTTAAATAGCAAATTGAAGTAATGGAATTGAGAGATTGCATAGCTACCATAGAATCACAAATTGATTCAGTCGCTATAATGGTTTGCCATTCTGATTTAGCAGCTCTGGAAACCTCGGTCCTCATCATACAAGAGGCCTCAGTTCAAGAAGCCCCTTTCTGAGGATCAATCCTCAAAAAGAAATCTAGGCAGAGAGCCATTGGGTAATAGTTTGAGACACAACAGAATCCAAGAAATGATAACCCTTGATTTGGGTTCTGTGCATATTTCTAAACAACTAGTTTCAACAAAAGGCATCTACAAGCACAAGTAAATGATGTAAAAAGGACACACATTGGCTTATCACCTAGAAGGCATGCAAAGTGTACTTTCTGAGTAAAACAGAGTGTATACACAAATACGTGATAGCTCATCCACTTCAGTCTGAGAATGTATGGACGGACACGTCAGGAAATTGTTCACAGTTCAAGTGTGAAATAGAGCTCAAATACCAAGACAGTGCTGTGGCAACTCTAAATACCACCTGTGTCCTCAGAGAGAGCACAAACAGGAAAGACGTTAGACTTTGGGTAGAAATTCCCCAGATAATCGGTCAGAATCAGTGAAGGTATGCTAGGTAGTAAAGATAAAGGTTACTTCAAACTCCTTGGGAAATGAAAATGCATTTTATTATCCCATATTTTGCCAATTCCTTCTTATTCCTGCAGAGACTATTATACTGTGTCACTTTTAAAATTTCTGTTACTGTACACATAGATTCTCGTGTAGAGCGAGTCATAGAAGTGTCATCAGATGAAGACAAAGTAAAGGACGATAACAATGAAAATACACAACGAACAGTAAGGAAATGTTTAGTTTTCAATTTCTCCTTCGATGTTTTCATTTGTTCAGTAACATAATACAAAGATGTGCAGTTGCCTTCAACCTACACAACAGAGTCAATAGATAATCATTTCAGATTTGGCTTTTTTTTTCTCTTTTTTGAGACAGGGTTTCCCTGTACCCCAGCTGTCCTGGAACTCACTATGTAGACCAGGCTAGCCTCGAACTCTCAAGGATCCTCCTGCCTCTAACTCTGAAGTGCTGGGATTAAAGTCATGTGCCACCACGCCCGGCCTCATATTTGGCTTTTAAGACTACTTTATTTTATAATAAAATTTAGATTATTCTTAGAATATACACTGACCTAGAGTAAATTTTGTCTTTGTTTTGTGGCTATTTTTTCTGATAATTTTTTGGATTCTGT